TGCAAGGCAAGCACTCTACCACTGAGCCACCTTCCCAGACCCTCAATTCCACTTCTTTTTTTTTGGGGGGGGGGGGGGCCGGTCGTGGGGCCTGAACTCTGGGCCTGGGCGCTGTCCCTCAGCTCTTCAGTTCAAGGCTAGTGCTCTACCACTTGAGCCACAGCGCCACTTCCCGGCTTTTTTCTTTTTGCTTATGTGGTGCTGAGGAATCGAATTCAGGGCCTCGAGCATGCAAGGCAAGCGCTCTACCACTGAGCCACCTTCCCAGCCCTGTTGTTGTTACTATTATTTATTATTACCTTTAAGTAGTTGTACAGTAGAGTTTCAATTTAACATGCCAATTTATGAATAGAATGCATCTTGATCAATGTCACCCCTTAGAGGAGACATGTTTGTTTGTTTTGGCTAGTCCAGGGGCTTGAACTTATGGCCTGAACACTCTCCCTGAGCATCTTTTGCTCAAGGCTAGCATTCTACCACTTGAGCCACAGGCACCACTTTACCGCTTCCGGCTTTTCTGTTTATATGGTACTGGGGAATTGAACCCAGGGCTTCATGCATGCTGGGCAAGTACTCTACTACCTAAGGCACATTCCCAGCCCTAGAGGAGACATTTTTAAGATTATCAGATAGTAAAAAGATTTTACTATGTTAAAAGGCTTTTAACATAGCTGGGCACCAGTGGCTCTTGCTTATGATCCTAGCTACTGGAGGCTGAGATCTGAGGATCATGGTTCAAACCTAGCCTTAGTAGGAAAGTTTATATGAGTCTTATTTTCAATTAATCATTTTTTTTTAAATCCAGAAGTAGTGTACCAGCCTTGAACAGAAAAATATAAGGAACATCATCCAGGCCCTGCATTTAAGTCCCAAAACTGGCACATGTGCATACACATGCACAATTACTTCATTTAACTACATTCCATCTGACTATATCATCTGTGTTCTACTACTTGGCTACTATAATAAAGTTGTGGAATTTAACATGCCTACCCCCTGTGGGACTTTAAATTCCTAGTCAGAGTTCCTGTTCTCTCTATTTCTGTAGTCACTGCAGGCATGTATGTTGCAACCACTGCTCAGAAAGACCTTCCAGTATAGTCATAAGATAGAAGGGAAAACATCAATCATCCTTGCTACTAAGGGAGTTTGGTTTGGATGGGAATACTGAAGCTTGAATCTTTGTAAATCTGGGCACTGGTGGCTCACGCCTGTAATCCTAGCTACTCAGGAGGCTGAGATCTGAGGATCACAGTTGAAAGCTAGCC